ATCCAGACTACCGATATTAAAACGATATTTGTTTGCCATTGGCGATTTTATTGCGAAACGTATAAACGACTATTAGTATGTCAATCTTGGGTATAACTTAATATTCGCATTGACATTCTAATTGTCGGATATTACAGCAGAATTAGTGTAATCAAATGCCTGTGTTGGGAGTAGGAAACGGTGACGGTGAATGAATGGTTGTGGTATTTTGTTGTTTTAACTGTATAGTAAGCTGTAGTATAGTAGTAATTAGTTTAAATAGCTTTTAGATATTTTATGTATTTTGATTGCTGTTACCCGCAATCTACATACTTTAATGTCATATTATGCATGAACACCGACGACAAGATCCAAAAATCATCTTTGGAAACGTATATGGCACCCATACATCAAGACGTCAAGACTCAACAATCAATAGATAGATATAGATATAGGTATTTTATTCCACTAAGGCCCGATTTTTCAATCATCAGTTAGTTCTCATCTGTAGAATAAAATTGACTTTTGGCTGTTTATAGTACGGAAGATTAGTGAAATATTCAAAGTTATTCCTCACTTAAATTTTGTCTGGCGTTGGAAAAATCGACCCTAAGTGACGTGAGCTACAAATCACTACGCTGCTACTATACCGAATAATAAATTGATCATTAACTAACTACTTACTGTTATTTGTATGACAATGAAATTAGAATGTGTAAATCGATACCTCTCATAACAAGAATATTCATGGAAATATACAGAATATAATAAAATAGTAAACTGATATAGGAGCTCTACTAATCATCACTAAATTGGAGGCACAAAAAATCCATCACATCTTGTTCAATAATATAATCAAAAATATTGGATTAATTAACCGCTGTTTCTATTAAGGCAGGAATCAATTTGACCTTCGAGGCGGAGATTTGATTACAGGGGAAGGCAAAACGAATCGCGTGATCACACGGTAGCCGATTCATATTTGTATGTAAATTTTTACGAGAACTGCAAACAAAAGAGTAAAGTTCCTTTTTGGATGGTGTATTAAGGAGTTGATGTAGAAGAACGATATGAAAACGTGATTAACTCGTCGAGTACCGTCATTGTAGACACAATTATAGAACAATAGGTAGCGGTCACCGGTGTCCTCGCGGTGTTTGACAGTTTAAAATGTTATGATGTAACTATTCCATTGATAATTCCAAGTGTGACTACCGCGCTAGACGTTTTTAATCCTAGGAGGTGTAGAGAAAAAAATAATAATTTTATAAATAAATAGTTTGGCTTTTAGAAAGTCTTCGTCTTTTTCTCTTTCTTCCTCTCTCGCTTTCAAGGAATTATCAGAGTTCTCTGTCTTAGGTATGCACCTGGTTCGGGATCGCGAGAGGGCCGATCCTGCTCGTAGAAGGCGTTGAGGAGGTTGACGCCTAACACGCCGAAATCCCGCCTACATCAACCTCAGGTGGACTTTTGGGACTACGGGAGCATGAATTGGAGTCTCCAATCCTAGAGTCCTAGGTACCCATCTAGTGGCCTCAGGTAAGAGGGTAGCACAGTGGTCACGTTCGCCGTACACAGCGAGGCTTAAAGGAGACACCCGTTCCCTAGGGATGGGTCGTAACAGGCGTTGCACCGTGGGGGTTCCGGTGCAGGTCTCTTTTAGAGGACCTGGTGCCTCCATACAAGTGTTGAGGATGGCCACCGAGGCAAAAATCCCACACTCCCTAGTCTTATATCCCCAAAAAGCTCGGCGCCCCTTGAAGGTTTCCCCCAGTCATAAAAAAATAAGAGAAAAGGTATTCACCTGGTTACAAATGGTTATAACTGGTGAACTCCATCAACAAGACATTTCTATCTCTAAGTATTTAAATATAATCTTCATCACAAATAATATTCTTACTATTAATTTCGAAAAAATAACAGTTAGTTTTTGAACAGTTATTTAAATTATTTCGTTTACAAATCGTTTCTCGAAATAATAACTTCATTCATTAAGCAGGTATGACCGGAGGCGACGGACCGTGATTTTGAGTTAATTCGCTACCCTTTTTTTGACGTGGTGTGATGATATACTTGTATGTATGAATATGTTGGTATAGGTAGGCGTTTGTCTTTAGTGTAGTACTCAATTTATATCATAGTTTTTTTATAATAATATTATGAAATATGTATTTTGCGTACGGCGCGTCGCGTTCCGCGCGCGCCTTAAAGAGCCATCAGACCACCACAGATGGGGCCCAACAGGGCCGATGCCGATTCGGAGTCGCGGAGAAGTCTCCGGCTCGACGTGCAGGAGAAGGAACCGAGTTGTTTTTAGTCAGTGAGAGTCTGACACTCCCTCCCGCCTCACCCAGGCGGTAGCAGTCATTCGATGATTTTCCCACCTTAAAAAAATACGTATGTTTCAATCAATTAAAACAATGGTTAACTCACGTGAAATACTGAGAAAAGCTGTACTAGTTTCGAGTCACAGAGAGCCTCTTCATCATAAGCAGCATGCGCTTTTTTTCTTTGTACCCATATTATGTTTGTGGTTTTTAAAATGAACATTTATGCACCCACCTTTCTTGATGATAGACCAAAGTTCAAATCACTTGCCATCAGCTGATGTGAGTGAGTGATTGAATAAGTTATTTGTGGCACCCATGGATACTTGCAACACTAGAGGAGTTACAAGTTTGTTACTAATCTTTTGGCTTTGGGACCTCTTTGGCTCTAAACAGACGAACCGCATTTCAACTGCAATCCAACTGCAAATTGCATTTCGAATGCATGCTGAACGCAGTTACACGACTGTAATCGGACTGCTCGTTTGGTTTGCAACCGTTTGGTGATGACTGCAATAGAACTGCAATCTGACTGCTCGTTTGGTACTGCAATTTGCGATTGGATTGCAGTTGAAATGCGGTCTATCACTAACTCAGTAGCAGCTCTTATATTAAATTGACGGACATAGCAAATGGAGACATCATTATTTCTTCTTATTTATAAAAGACCGATATAATTTGCTTATAATGAAGTATGCCTACATAAACTTATTGCATTTTGATTAAGCATACTTGTTGGTCGTTAATTCGATCTAGGTTAGCTTAGATAAATTAACTGACCTTAGGATCTAGGCGAAGCCTAAATAACTCGAGTGTAGCAGTTTATTTTCCATGAATTTCCATATTTCTTCAATTTATTTAATTAGGAGGCTGTACAGTGTACAGTCAAGTGTCTAGGTTTAATTTAGAGTTTATTGATTTAAATATATTGTGCTATTTTAGGAACCATTTGGTTTGTCCATGAAAATGAACTGACCCTGACAATGGGGTAGATGCCTAATTTTTTATTTTTATTTTATTGTCCGTCTGTTAGATTGTTTTAAATCATTAGGCAGGTATTTTTTATTTTCTCACAGACACGAATACTTTCGACGATATATAGATTTGAAATGTCGCGTGACGTCACTTCGATGTACTATACATTTTTTAAGTAGAAATGACGATTTAGCCCCCACTCTTAAACTTTGATTCGTTTTATCTAAGTATTGTTTTCTGATACGACAAAATAAAAAAATACGTGTCCAATATTTTTTCATTACCTAACTTACGGACTAATTACATTTTTAATTTTCATACCCTGTCATCGTCCCAATTAGTACTGTTTTTCCTATCGGCCCTTATCCCAACCTACTTGATATCAACGCGATAAATTGGTATCTTCTCTTTATTCTCTGTAAAGTATCGGACTAACACTGAAGACTGAAACGCTACTCAATTTTAAGGTGTACTTAAATGTCGTGCCATCTCTTTCATTTCTCTTGTAAATGGCGTGATGTTTTGATAGTGTAGGTAGGTACTATGAGTTCGTATGGGGTCGATGCTGATTCGGAGTCGCGGAGAACCTAACGAGTTACCGGGGCTCCGACTCTTACTGATTTATAGTCAGTAAGAGTCTGACACTCCCTCCCGCCTTACCCAGGCGGGAGCAGTAATTCGATGATTTTCCCCCCTTAAAAAAATGCGCTTTAGAAGTTTGCTTTTTGCAATGGTTTAACAGTTATGTTTTATTTGTTTGAAACATTTTATTTCTTTGTAAATTACCTAATTATATTACTGAGACAAAACCATTTCTATTAGGGACGAAAACGAGATTTCACGGCGTATGCTTTCCTTTATCTAAAACTGTTTATTAATATTGCTCCTTACTTTCATGCATTAATAGTTACTTATTCCTAAGAAATGAGCAGGACATGTGTCGTATTAACGTTAAGCAGTATGAGTTTGATTTATAGATGCATGGTCCAAGTTAGAATACAAAGGAGTGTTCTTGTAGTTATTTTTTGCTTAGTTCAATGTCTTTGGTATTTTCATCAAAATCGATCATTGGTAGATCCTGTAGATACCTAGTTTATTTTGTTTTTTCTTGTAGTTTAAATTGTTATCAATATAGCATTTAACGCAGCCTTAGTTGAGTCCCATCATTCTAGTAAATTACAACTGAACTAATTGAGCAACGTCTTTAAAATCTAGTCTATTAACATTTTTTAGAACACACCCTAATAAAAATACCACTTCAACCTCTAATAACTTGTACCACACAGGATACATCATAAGCCTTAGATGTCACAAGTATGTACACACGACGACACATAAAACTAAGCATCCAGTATAAGATGACCGGTGAACATTCGGAAAGAACATGCTAAGCGAGGCCTAGATTAATTGGTTGCGTATTAAAGTCAGTCTCCAGATTCCAGATAGATGCACAGGAACAAGGATTAAGGATCTGCAGACATGTGATAACGACCAGCTAAACACACGACTTACCGCTAGATGGCGCTAGCATCGGATTGTGACATGTGGTCTTGCAAGATAGTGGAAGATTCGCATTAATCTTTACCATTAGGTACGACTTACGGTAACACTTGATAAGTTTACAGATGAATGTTAAATTGATTTAGTTTTAATCTGAGATCTAGATTCTAGATGGATTTAACGGTGAATGTGGTGGTAGAATATATACGTATTTACGTATTAATAAATTATAAATCTATTAAATTTTCCATTATTTTCACAAATCTTGCAGGACTTTTTACCAGTTTGTTTTATTTCTGGTTTAATGTATGTATTTCCTGTGCTTTGGGTTTTCTTCGTATCATATTTTCTTGCAAAAGTTTCTAGTCCTCTTATACAGTTAAATAAGTCATTCACTTCTTTAAGGCTTTCTCTGTCTATTTTATCCATTATGAAATTTGGTAGACCAGTGGCAATCAAGTAAATTAGAGTTTTCTTATCTATTGATTTGTTAGTTTCTAGTAATAGTCTCTCTTTTTTTAGAGCGTATTCTAACATTGATCCTTGTATGTATTTAAAATTAATAGCATATCGGATTGGTAACCAACCTTTATCGGCAAATGCTTCACATAAACTCTTCTTCCATACAGACCACTCCGAATCAATTGTATATTTTATAATCATGGAGGTGTACCAATCCAAACACGTATCTTCTAATAGTAATCTTAGCATTTCTATCTTTCGTAAATCTGTATCTATTTGTAAGCGCGCACATTCACTTTCATAAGTATCTAACCATTGTTGAACATTTGTTGTATTTCTTGAAAACTTCTGTATTGAAAATTCTGCTAATAGTTTTGTTTTATTTCCTATTTTCTTCGACAATGACTCTGTCGATGACGACTCTTGACTTGGTTCTAATTTTTCAAGCAAATACCCATCAAATTGTATGTTGCCATCATCCAAGTATGTACTTTTCATATCCTTAGTTAATGTAATCCAAACCTGTCTCTTATCATGCCTTTTTTGGAGAGATTTCTTTATTTTGTCAAATATTTCATGTTTCATTATTTCTTTGTGTAACTGCACCGATTGATATTCTCGAGGCATAATATAAGTTTGGCCTTGTGTATCCGTGATAGTAGTTATGGCATAAATATTGGTTTTATTATCATCCGGCTTCGCTTTCACGATGAATTCAAATTGTAATTTCTCCATTACGTATGTTTATAATACTTGTATTTATCTTCAAACGTGACCAAAATTGTCGATTTATAAGATGAGGATTCGAGACAGCAATGAAATAATTTGATTCATCTATAACAATAGAGTTTTATTTAAATAAAATAACAATATTTTAATAAAAAAAAATAATAAACTAAGCAACCTCGGAATACAAACCTATAACAATAGAGAATCGACAATTAATTGTCACTGCTTTAGCCCGTCGATCCTCACTTAAATTCTTTAAATTAAATAACTAAAATAACAATCCTATATTATCGAAATAAAACTAATTCTTTACAATATTTCAATTTGTAGCTACAACATTTTATTAGACGTTTGTCTTATGACACGTATGTCACCTTATCCAAAGACAATGCAAAGCATGGAGGCTTTCATACGTATTTACACACACGGTATAAACGGACTCCCAAAAACTGTGACAAAATAGTTTTTACAATTTCAATCGCTCTTTTTTTACGTTACTCATGCAACATTAGCCTTGAGCGGTTGATTCCAACTATAATTACATAAAAGAAACATTTTATTCCTTACCTTTATGAAAATGAATATACTGAGAAAACCTCTACAAGTTTCGAGCCACAGAGGGGTTCTTCCTCATGAGCAGCGTGCGCACAATGCAATACAAGGACATTGTAAGCCTTCTGGGGATAAAGAATTTACTTAGTAAAATTCTGTTCATGCGATAACAAACGACTGCACGGTTGGTGCGGTGGCTGGGCAACCGGCTGCCGTGCAACGTGTCGCGGGTTCGATTCCCGCACGGAACAACACTTTGTGCGATCCACAAATTGTTGTTTCGGGTCTGGGTGTCATGTGTATGTAAACTTGTATGTTTGTAAACGCACCCACGACACAGGAGATAATCCTAGTGTGGGGCAACGTTTTCAAAAAAGAAAAAAAAATCACGTAGTATCTTCTATCTACTGTTACCTAGTATAAACACATCCAATAACATAAATTGAAGCATAATAAACTAAATAAACCATTTGCATGTCCAACCAATAGCAACAATGTAAGCTACAATAATCTTCGTTAAGATTAAGCACTCATTAGTTAGGTCCTAACTGTAGCAGTGCAACTACCATTACAATTAGCAGATCAAGCTACCCTTTTCCACAAATTACTACACTAATTTTCAATCTTACCACATTGGATATTAAGTTCAAAATTCAATAGAAGTTCAGTTATAAAGCTTAACGTGCCTATTGCCAGTATAAACATATCTTCATATAAAGTGACAAACATACGACATAACGAGCATACAGGTAGTAGCTGTAATTATTTCAACAATACATACATTTCTATTATTCTTAGTGCATACCGACGCCATGTTGGATCACTATCATTAATAACCTGGCTAATGTAACTGTTGACTACAATGTGTAGGGAATTAATAGGCTGTTCTATAATATGACACTTTACATAACATAACATCACGCCTTTTATCCCCGCAGGGGTAGGTAGAGTAGAACATTATGACATTGTACAATGTAACACCCAGTTTTCACTATTTATGTTAAGAGTCCCATGTAATATTCATGTATTATTTCCATACTCCGTGCTACTACTGAGAATTAAAAAAAAACCAGTAATACTTTGCCCGACCCGGGAATCGAACCCAAGACCACATGCTCGGCAGTCGCACTTGCGACCACTCGGCCAACGAGGTAGTCTATGTTATATAATATGAAAGTCTTTGCTGAAAACTATTTGTTAATGAAACGTAATTAGATTTAAATGTAATTAGTCCGTCAGTTAGATAATGAATAGACACATTTTTTTATTTTGTCGTATAAAAAAACAATAATTATATAACACGGTGTAAAAGTTAAGTTTAGGTGTTGGAGGACGTTATGTCACGCTACCCTATAAAATGTAGTGAATCGTGACGTCACACGATATTTCAGATTAACATATCGTCGAAAGTATTTAATTTTGTAAGAAGAGAAAAAGTACGAGTATTATGCACATGAACATTCAAATAAAATTTAGGATACTACCCTATCACATCAAAAAATGTCAGGAAGTAAGCTTCCTGGTCATCACTCAGATCAGTCATGTCATTTTTTTATGGGATAAGCCGATAAACGAGCAGACGGATCACCTGATGGTAAGCAATCGTCGTCGCCCATTAACACCTGGAACTCCAGAGGCGTTACAAGTGCGTTACCGGCCCTTTGGGATTAGGAATTTGAGTATTGTCATCTAAAGATTATTAGATTCTTTACCCTTCTTAATATTTCTAGAATTTTCCTCCTACCCCATTCTATATCTGTACCTTTATCGAAATCGATACAGCAGTTTATGAGTGAAAGTGTAATAAACGAACTATATTATTGTAAATAGTTAGAATTAAACAATGACAAACAATAATTGGCACTTATCCAGTGTGTCGGATAGGTTGATATTAAAATGGTAATGTACCGTTGTTTTACTTTGCTTGGGCAATGCGCACGCGCCCCTAAAGTTTCGATTAGGGTTGCCTCAAGAAACAAGATACTGAAATCACTACATAGTATAAAACAAAGTCGCTACCCGCTGTCTGTCTGTCCCTGTGTTTGCTTAGATCTTTAAAACTATGCAACGGGTTTTGATGTGGTTTTTTTAATAGATAGAGTGATTCTTAAGGAAGGTTTATATAATAATAATAATAATAATTATGTAATAATATAATATAATCTGGCAACACTACAAACGTCAACTTGTGAAAATTTTACTCTGCTTTTATATAAATAATTTATACCATATTCCTTTCTGTTTTCGTTTCTTCTAATATTTATCAACAATAGAAAAACCTTTTTGTTTTATAATAATACGCCATAATTTTACAATACTGCACACTAAGAAGAAAATATTAAAAATGAAAATGACAATGACAGAATCAACAACTTCAAAAATAAATCTAATAAAGCAATCGTTTGATTAACAATGTTGACGAGAGCCAGATGCAGACAAGACGCACCCCCACCACCTCCGGACTCGTCGCTCAGCTCCGCCTCGCCATCACCGGAACCCCGCTCCGCTGGATCGCCGGTGACTGCAGTTGCGTCGAGCTCGAGCGACGACTATTTCTCCCCACCTACGTCGCCACCACCTGTACGTCGGCCGGGGAGAGGCCGGCCACCGACTGGCTTGGGAACCAGGGGCCATCAGGCCCTGGGACGGGTCCCCGCTACCGGTGGTTGTGTGCGGCGCATGAAATGGTCTCAAACCATAAATGAGAACGTCATGCGCGCATACTACGGTGCTACAGAGGGAGGAACTAACCTCACGGCGTACCGCGAAAGGATGCTGTCTATGTTTCAGGTGCTTGAACCATCTGTCAACGTCTCGGCCCAACGACTGTCGGATCAAGTGCGGGTTATCCAACGCAATTGCAGATTGGATGAGGCTACACTTGATCGGCTACGCCTTGAAGCACTGCGCAACCGTGTCGTCCCCGCACCACCACAATTGGTGGCACAGACACCTGTAGTGTCACAATGTGTGACATCGACCACCCCTATCGTTGGAGTGGAGGACGATAGGGTTGAACAAGTGAGTACTCAGTGCAATGAACGTCTAAGGAGTGCTTTGGAGGATGCGGTTCGTGAGTACAGACTTGCTCCTAGTGATTTACGACCAAAATTACCACGTTTGCCCATGTGTAGGAAAAATAGGGCGCTGGTGAGCGCCTTGGATTCGCTACTTAAAAAATATTTTGAGAGTAGCGAAAACCTCTATGATACACACTCGATCTTGTACTGTGGGGCGGTTGCTGCTTGTCGAGTGGCTAACGTAAGATTCCCAAATCTTGACGCAGCAGTCCGACCAAAACCAGCAGTACCTGCCTGGCAGTATAGGATAGAGCGTCGTATCAGTGAGGCCAGGGTACTCATTGGCAAACTATCCTGCTTCAGGGAGGGCAATACTCGTCCTAGAGTGATGCGCTTTGTAAGACGTGCATTTGTGGGGACTGAAACCAGTCCTCATGAATACCTGTCACGTGTTACAGAGCGCATCGACTTCCTGAAGCAGAAAGTTTATGCATGGGCAAACCGTAT